CTTGACAGAGAAGCTGATGTCACGCCTACGCCACAGGTGACGTATGTTCGCAAAAGCTGCTCTGGCCTTCCCAATCCGGATGGAAATTTCATCTTTCGCCAGACCACCGGGACTGACACAGCGGCCCGGTTCAATGTCCACCGATGTTCTGAGCAATAAAGTGCAACTAAACTCCAAATATAGTGCCTTTTGTTGTGAGTAGTGAAAACTGAAACTTTGGCGCGTATTATCCTTAAAATGAATTACGGAACACAGTTGGACGGGAGACAGTAAAAGGCCAGAGAGAATGTGCTTCAGAACAACAACAACGGACTAATGTATCTAGGGATCTTCCAATATTTCTACTCGTGATCCCTCTCCTCATTCTGGCGCATCGCCGTGGTCCGGATAAAATTTGGACGAAAGCATTCGAACATGGCTTATCTTAACCTAGAACTTAGGTACATATCACTTGGTGAAGTATACATGCATATACCTAAGTAGCCCAGCACTGGACACAGCTTTTATACTGCCAGCACGCAACCGATTGCCATGTGGGCTTTTCACGCAGTTAATTTTTCGGAAGACGAGTGGGGTGCTTCAAGCAGTTTATCACGTGTCCTCGTTCAGCATACATCGACAAAACTGCGGAGTGTTCTCTTGGGCTGGTTGTTCCCTCAACGGGTCACTTGAATGATTTAGTTGTAGTACCACAAACAGAAGGAGATGAAAACAGTTCTATATCGTACTTTTATGTCATTCAGTTTTGCTAACCACCTGTGAAATGTCAGCTGTAACCCAAGCTTTTTTTACTGTGGAGTTTCTAGAGCATAGAAGACGACCGGGGTTTCCAACTCAAAGTTGCTAGTTTCATAAAAATGCTTCACCGCTGCAAACATCGCGAAAAGATTTCTATTCCCCTGAATCTTCCGTCAGCTCAAAGTAACTTGAGTCGATTGTCAGATATGCTGATAGTCATGTAGGTTTTGAAACAAATGGTTCCCATTGGTCATTTTTGTGCGGAAAACGTCATTTTTCTTTGTGGGGAAGAAGGTTAACGGTTTTGAATTAACGAACCAAAGTGTCATTTGGGGAATCGCCGAAGTGAAAATAATTCCGCCAGGAGACCTTGAAACCGGCTACGAAAGTTCATTGTAAAGCAAAGAAGTTTTGAAATGAAACAAATTCGAGTTATTTCCACGGGTTCTGATTACACGGGAATTGAAAATGGGTTTTTGTGAAGCTTTTCACTTGTCCAACAGATCCAATCTTCCCGACATAAACCGTCAAACGGCAAGGCCGATTTAACCAAGGTTAGAAGTCTGACGGAAGTTTCTGTATTTTATCAGAATTGATCCCGGTTGTCGTTCCCTGTATTCCATGAAACAATGTGCTTTTGCTCACGTCCTGTGTTTTGTGTGAGGGTGAAAGTGATTTTGTCTTCGATAAACAGCGGTCAGGTGTAGTTTGGAAGACCCCGAGTCTGTCTACCACCGCACGATCGCATCAGACAGGAGATTATTACCCTGACGGTCATTGAAGAGAGCAATAACTCTAGAAAATTCCATGTCACTCTGCCCTAATGAGCCACAACCTGTTTTTTGGGGGAATCCCCTTTCTCGACCTGATTGGTTCGCAGTCCGAGCGCAAGTTTGAACTCTTTCAGCAGCTGCACCCCTGGTGATAAAGATATGGTATTTCTGCCCACGAAAGTGTACATTAGGTGTCAAGGCCTTCTGTTCAATTTACAGTAAACAGTCTTGTCAGTCGAGGGAACGGGGCAAGATTTGATCACTGTCACCTGTGGGATGGAGTCTTAAGTTTATATACAGGAGCACTGATATTCTACAAACTACTTAGTCTTTCGAATAATCACAGACTGGATTGGCAGACCTAGAAATTTCTCGCTTAAATGTGGGGGTTGAGAACGCCATACAATCTCGAATTAGGCTTACAAACTGCACAGTAGTAATAAGATTGTACGAAGCTATGAAACTCTATCCTGAGTATCCCTTCTTATCTGCAGTTTCTTCAGGGTGACCAAATTTACTTGGCTTCTTGGTGTTAGCTTTGAGTTCCATCTACACTGCTGGGTAGTTCTTCAAAACATTTGAGCCACTCATAGTTTCAGTATAGAGTAATTCTCTCCAAGATCGACCACTCCCTATGAAGCGAAATCGGTCACCCTAAAAAGAACTGTCATCATGGGTAAGCTGCTAGTCCTGTCCACATTTCATCCCAGTATTTGATTATTTTAGAGCAAACCGGAAAACCACTTTACCAGCCTTTTCACTAATAGTGACCCAACAGCCCCCGGGTACCAATTATTACCGCATTTTGTTGACGCGAGAGATGGATGCATATGACCAAGAGTAAGGTAGCCTTGGAAGGTACTTTTCTACTAAGAAAAATCTTGTTTCTTTTACAGCTGGAGACAACATTATCTTGTGTGTAATAAACAACTATCGTAGGTGTGCTTGGTTTGACGTAAAATTGTTCTGAACCTTTCAACCCGTCGAAGTTTCACGCGTTTTCCTCAACTTTTAGTGGTCCGTGTGTGGTGACCAGCAAGGATGGTTGAGGTAGTTCTCTGGGTCCTTCAGTCGCAAGTTATCACTCTTCTGCCACAGGCTGCGCTGGTTTGACCTATCCGAACTTAGTTTAAGCCTGATTGCTGTTGGTTAATTCATCAAGGTCATGCACAGCGGACATTCGAATAGATCACAGCGAATCACTTGATTCAGACTGGACCCGTAAAATTATGCCGAGTCGAGTACTGAAAGAAATAAATTTATGCACATGGAGCTCTAATCAGAACCTGCTGGCCTGCACTTTCTTGGGTATGCATGGGTTCTGCGGATTTGTTCATTCAAAAGGTCAAGTTACCTGAATATCGTTACAAAATCACGTAACAGTTGTTAAAGCATAGCAAACTTGCACCGGAAACAGCTGGATCCATCGGGATTTGTCGTCATATGAGAAATGTGCCTAAAAACCGCCTCTACTACTCCCTTTTAGGTACGATGGGATTAAAATTGCCTCACCAAAAAATATCACGTGAGGGTAGTGGTCGATTGATGAGCCAAGTGTTGAAATTTAAATAGCACGGTTTGATTCTCATGAATTTGCATTGTTACTTTGTTTATCTGGCTCCAAACTTGCCGGGTGACTGTGAAGTTACACTCACTGTTTGAAGCATCTCACGCGATTCCGGGTGAAAAATAGGGTCGATCTTCAAATGAGAGGGGCGACTGACAACCAGTCTTCAGTAGTTCTTTAAATTACTGCCTGAAGAATGACCCGGACTAAAGGTAGTTCACAATTTTTATGCTAATGCTAGGCAGTGGTTCTTTCTGGAACGAACAGCCAGCACTTGAGGTAAATCATTTCAGATTCGGGAAGTCTCCTATTCATTCTTTTCGAAGACTTTCTAATCAGTCTTTCACAGAACTATTTCCCCTTTTCTTCATCGTTTCTGGGGCGAGATAGCTCAAGTGGTTAGAGGGCGAATTTACTGACCGGAAGGTCCGTGGTTCGAACCCCACCTCAGCCTCTCGACTTCCCCTGTCTAGGCTTGGGCAACCTGGTGGTATCCTAGCCCTCGTGCTTCCCTCAGGTGGCATGGCAGCTAGGCACCGGAAGGGTGTTACAGCTGAACGATTTTTTTTCGATCGATGGAATGATAAGATTTGAGTTGATTCATTGTCTAACCTGTTTTCCAAAAAAGGAACTTACTGAAAGGCTTCAATCACCCGTGTAAGTCGTCAGGCCAATCCAGCTCGTTTTCCCCTAAGTTCTCGTTATCTTTGTCACCCACAGGTCAAGTTATTGGAGCTGTATGCCTGTGGCGAAATAGTTACCAAGTGAACCATCTAACTCGTGAAACGCAGGACGGATATGCACACTAACGTCATCGCCAGATTGAGTAATCGACATTGAGAAGATGTGGAAAGAAATCCAGAGAAGCTCAACGAAATCACTGATATCCCACAGTTTATCGGTTCATCACGACTGTGTTCTTTATCCGACTGGGTCATGCGTGTGCAAACACAACGCACTGAAATAAAACTAGATTGGTGGACATGGACTAACCTTGTGGACTACCTTTTCGACGAGTCAAGTTCGATTCCTCGAACTACCAGCACCCAGCCTGAAACATTTCTCCCTCAGTACTAAAGGCATAAAAGACATTCATTTATGCCGCAGTTGCTGCATTTCCGCTGAAATAAAATCGAGCGTGACAATCCTGTGGGGTTTCATGGAAGAAACGTTACCAGCAGAGTTGTTCGGTTCTGAAACGAGGTGGCAGGGTCCGTTAAAGCCAGGTCCAAAAAGGATGAATTGTTTAGACAGTGGCTGATGTCACGAGAAGCAGACCGGAATCCCATGAGTAATTTCTAGCTGTTCAACTGTGTGAGAAAGCCATGATAACGTACTCAGATTCTTCTGGTTGCCTGGATAATTGTGACGCAAACAATCCATAGGAGCTACTCTGCGTAATCTGGTCGAGTGTTCTCAAAAGGAGATTCAGTATGAAAACGACCGCGGTCGAAGAAACTCGCCCGGATTGAAAGTTCTCACCAGATAATCGAAATGCTGATACAAGTCGCCGTACTGACTGTCGGCGGGACTGCTGAGAAATACGGGCAATTCTGATCCTAAGATGCATAATTCAGAAGTCTATTCCTAGAATTTTTTTATTTATATCTTCGGCACTGATGCAAGCAACATTTATATAGATTACGGAAAGCAGGACCAATGGCCACGCTCAAGGCATTTATGTGAGCTTTAGAAATTGTAAGCGGGAATCTTTCCACTCAACCGTATGTAAATATGTTACTCTGTACCACTGGATAAGTCCTCTGTGTCTGTCCCCTTCGGGACCTAGCTCCCATTCCAACCGAAGGAAGAACGAGGGCTGACGTACTGCCAGGTTGCGCAACCCTAGACAGGAGCAGCGGGGGGTGGACTAGAACCACAGACCTTCCTGTCAGCAAGTTCATGTTATCGTTAGAACAATAAATAAAACGAAAATGGCTGCTGTAATCGCTGGGTTTGAAATCATTCGGACATATCAATCTTGAAGAATCTTTCGTAGTTTTAGTATCCTACGACTGCTAAGAAGCTATTTGAAGCTTACCCACAATACTTTCCGCATATTGCTCAACATGGAGAGCCCCCTCAGGAGACTATTTCGTGCAAACGGAGTTGTTTTTTGCTCCATAACCGTGGCTTCACTTCTGGAGGGGGGGGGGGGTAAGCTAAGGCGTTGGATCGCCCCAGACGTGGAATGTTGGGTGGGAAATCTTCGCATGTTCGTTCTTGGATGACACCGCAGGTATTTATACTCAATGTTTTTTTGCTTTTATTGACTATTTTCTATCTCTCTTGTTGTGTATGGTGCTGTCGAAACCATACCAGGCGACAGATGTTCTCCAAGAAGATGCCACTGCTCAAGCCTATAGGAGTGGTGTCCGTTCGTGTTTGGTTTCACCTAGCTATTTTAACCAGATACCTTATGTTGCTTGCATACACCACCACGACCTGGATCACATGGATCGTATCCAAGCGTAAAACGTTCAAATCCTCCGAGGACCTTATGGCAGATGTTCTCCTACCAGCCTCGGTGTCCGAAGACCATTATGGCATGTGTGTTGTTCGAGGTACCATGTATAGTGAGTTATTCGGGTAGACGCCCAGACGAAATCGAGTCCTGTAAACCGATACCAGCTCAAGCGTGATCCTCAGTTGAAAGCTGTGCCACGACATGCGAGCCATCGAGCTTCTGGTCTAGCAAATTTCGATCTTATTGTGCTGTGAGGAAGAGAGTGGCTGAAACTGGATTAAGCAACCACGATCCCAGACGTGATGCCCTTTGCTGTACTTCGGTGTGTTAGGCCTGCAGTGGTGGTACGAATGATCCCGTGTGACGATCGTTGTATAGAACAAAGCGAATCAAACCATTTTCATAAAGGTAACTACTCACAAGGTTGCTGAAAACTCTTCGACGGTCCGCGACCGGTTTCGCCCTTCTTGGGGCTCATCACGTAGCCGCAGTCCATCAACCTTATGTTCTACTTGAACCCAAATTGGACTCCTTTCCAGAAATACACTCATTGATTTGCAAAGGGGCGTATTTCTAGAAAGCAGTCCAATTTGGTCTCAAGTGGAACATAGGGTTGACAGAAACTCGGGACTGCGTCTACCTGATGAGCCACAAGAAGGGCAAAACCAGTCGTGGGATATCGAAGAGTTTTCAACAACCTTGTGAGTAGTTTCCTTTGTGAAAAATATACTGCGACATCTCGAATATCGCGCCAACTGAATCATGAGGCGGCCTGTGTGCAGCACATTCAGTTGTAGAATATCACAAGCGAGAGATTCAGTTGAGTCTCTCGTGAAAACCCAATTGATTTGCAAATGAGTGTATTCCTCAAATCAAACCATGATTGACAAGAACGCGCCGTGTGAGTATCATCCAGCTTAGGAGCAATGGAGATCAGTATTCTACTCAAAGCTTGGGTTCCAATTAAGATCCTACGAATATGGCGGACCAAACCTGCAGATACATCCTCTAACCAACCTTGTGCAGAATAAGCTGATGACAATCTAATACTAGCCAAACGGGTGTCTTTAACCGAGTGCATCTTATGAGTAGTATGGACCACCGGGGTATCCCAAGCACACACTCGGGTTCATTGATTGTTGATCTGTTCGCCTAGTTTGGCAACTAGTTTTACTAACGCTTCATCATCGCCACGTGCTGATGATGCACCTAGTTCGCGGAAGAAACGTTTGAAAGCTCATTTCTAAGCTCGGTAAAGAGATCAACGGCCATCTGATCAACAAATAATAAACGCACCCGGGCTACAAATAAATCAACACATTGCAAATGTCACGGAATTCAACAGTTTAGCTGTCCCCATACGATTGTGGAATTATAGGCCATCAGTCCGTCACACAGACCTGCCTCGTTCGGTCCAGTCCTTTCGAGTTAACACTAGACATACGGCACTTCATACCCTGTGCCACAGGGCTCATCCGAGTAGTCCAGGGTGACAACCGAAATAACAGACGAGTACCAGCCCATTGTGACAATCATGTAGGCACTTTCAGGTATACGCCCTGAAATTTTGATTCATAAAATCGATCCCGTTTTCATGTGTGACAACCTTTTGCAAGCAATGTTTAAAGGTTGGTAACGTATTCACTCCCGTAGATTGCAATGTCTTGTGACTGAGGCCGTAGCTAACGAAGAATCCCGTCGTGAACATTCTTCAGCGGAGAGATTCCTGCAGTGTAGGACAATGGCAGCGTCAACAACCAACCGTAGTCATGCGTTTTCTTTTTATATTGATCTACGCGCAGTCTATCATAGAAATTCTGAATTTTCCCCACTGAAATCAATTTCAAATCAATGGCAGGGTGTATGTAACAAATAATCTCTGATGGCCACAACTGGTTTGGTCATTTTGATCTTTGCCCAGAAACAGAGTTTTCACGTAAACTGAACACAGCGCCATTTTTGTACAAGTGGTCCTCACGGTTGCATTCCTGTAAACAATGTTCACAGTTTTCGAGAAATACACTCAGTTTCAAATCAATTTGGTTTTCACGAGAGACTGAACTGAATCTCTCGTTAATGATATTCTACAATTGAATGTGCTACACACAGGCCGCCTCATGTTTCAGTTGGCACGATATTCGAGATATCGCAGTATATTTTCATAAGGAAAACTACTCACAAGGTTGCTGAAAACTCTTCAAAGAGTTTTCAGTAACCTTGTGAGTAGTTTCCTTTATAAAAATGTTCACAGTTTTCTCATTCATCTTCGTACATAGCTACGAATGATTAAGTTCATGTGGAATTCCCACAAGTGGAATGACAAGCATGAAAAAAAGGAAGGAATCCTCACGTCACGTGACTGTTTTCAGTTATTTTGTGTCAATATTCTGATCTGTCTGTGGGACTATTAGAATGAGATAATGCGGTAGTAACGATTGCAAACAATCCATGTACCCGAGAAATAGTGTGATTTTCCGAACAAGCTGATTACAGCACATCAAAGTTGATGGATAGAAAAACAGTGAAAAGGGACTGACTAATACAAAGAAGTCGAACTACTGTGAATTTCTCGTCCCTCTGTAAGATCGAAGGTAGGAGGGTAGAGAATCTCGAAGGTTACGTTCTGTGCGACGGGATACATGAGTAGAGTCAGGCGAATGTTGTTTGTCCTTCCGATGGACTTGGGCGGCTAATGTATGCGGAGGAACATTGGATAATCGCGGATAAGGAATACCGTAATGTTTGGCCAACTCCATGCGTGACTCGGCTTCACGAATGTGTTCCTGAGATAGTTGGAACAGAGAAAAGGGAAGGCTAACAGATGAAATGGTCATAAATATAGAGTAAGTCGATAAACAACTGACTATTGCCTACTGGATGATCTAAAAATGCTATTGACGACGTTTCAAGTGTTGGCCAAGGAATCAGATGATGAGATTAAGCCACATATCATATAATACGGTGTTAGATAGGCCCCCTTTAGAACAATTAGGCATGTTTCACTAGACTTTAGTCTTTGTACACATAGTCCGGGTTGGCGCGATTCGATCAGAGAAGCTTCACCTGCGATGTAAACTAGGGAGGTTGTGCGAAGCAACAAAATACTAAAAACAGGTTTTCTAGATCAAACTGAAGGCTTGTGCCTAAAAGATGACCGGCTGTGGATAATGTATGATCGTGAGTTAACCTTGGCCCGAAAGCTGGCGTCCTAACGATGATCCGAATGCATACTCCGCTCAATATATATCCGTCCTACCAGTGTCATAGCATCGCCACAGCTGCCAAGGAACTGGTAGATCACACGAGAGGTAGGTCTGACGATCTAGTTCCATCAGAAGAAAACTCCACCGATGAAGCTGTACGTTCAGTTCTAAAGTGACAGTGAATAACCTATACCCGTCACGTGACTTACGCTGGTCAGTTATACTCACCGTTGTGCTTTGTATCCTGAGTCTCAGGACAATAAGGAATGGTGAGTACTAAGTCCTAGATCTGCACTTGTAGCAAACCAAGCGGAATCAGCTGTGTAGGCTGCTAAATCTGAGGTGAGACGAAGATGGGCGGAGCAAGATGCAGAAATAGCAATCAGCCCATGAAATGTGCACCAACCGGGTCAGGTTTATGTGACACGTAAAATAAAGCGAAGTAGATAACGAAAACACAATGGGCTTGCAACAGAAATTACGGTTGAATTGCTTGCTCAGTTTGAGGAGTTTCGCTTTGTTACAGTTCGAGTGTCAAGGAGTCATGGTATGCCAGCATGTAGGCGTAGAACAATGTTGTACTTGCACTCATGAAAGTTTGATTACGACTGGCCACTCGGTGGGCTCGTGTTCTGAGTAGTAAACGTTCACATGTGCTGGGACAGAAATAGGCAGCGTTGTTATATGTAAAGGCTGAGCACCAGAAGTGTGCGGTTTTTAACAATTCACTCGTCACCTTAACCACACACGCTATCGAGCAGCTCTTCTAAGGTGGTTGTCACTATGTATTAAGGGTTTTAACGCCAGAACGATTCATTTGGTTTCAAGATCGCGTTGAAACTGGCTAGATGCCTCTACGTATGGCTTTCTGGCGTCAGCTAGACGAATAGTAAATACAGTTTGTTTCCATTTCGCCGCAGAAATACGACCCCTTGGACGGACACGCACCGAGGAAAAAGAACCCGGCTAATTGATTTTCGAGGGCGGAAATCTTCTGGTATTCCCGAACGTCGTTCGAATATATAACACAAATGAGCAAACGCAGTCGAACGACTCAACAGTGTCCAACTCGGACATCAGTCAAATTGCTCTGAACAGATACTGCTCAGTAGTGCTCGCTGTTACACCTGTCCTATCACCTCAACGTATGACGACAGAGTCAGACAGGTTACGATTGGAAATCAGCTGGCTAGAATCGGGGGAAGGGGTACCTAACGGCTGACCGGTGCTGCCCTGGTGGTTTAGGGTGGGAGGTAAATGACTGGCCGAGTCTGATTCTGCTCAGGTATGTGTGTCCACAAGTGACACAGGTCCAGTTGGTTGTGGTTGGGCTCGACAGCGTACAAACTTTTTTTAATAAGGTGCTTACGTTCGGGAATGCGGATGCGTTGAATCGCAAAAGCTTATGCTGCCGGCAGTTCGCCAGGCCATTCAGTCAGGTGTGAGATTTTCTGAAGATCTGAAATCAAGATTACAGTTTTCCGAACTTATCTTAAAACTGTCACGGTAGCGGAATTTCGGTTATCCTAATTCGGCCTCTATTATTCAATCGATAGTTAGTAAGTTGCTTCGCCCATTTAGCTGACTTGGTCCATTCCAACGTAGCATCAAAGCGCACCGAGTTTCACTGACTTTGATTCACTTATGAGATTCGATTTGATCACAGAATTCAAGGCAGCTTGTGCAGGCATTGCAAGTGAGACGTTTAAGACATCCCAAGGTGTTCCACCAGTACTTCAGCTCGATGCGCTGCGAACTTGGTGTCCACGAGCAGGTTGTGATTGATCCAAAGGCGTTTGTATAGGTGACAGAAGGGAACGCTTGCCTGCCGGGGGAGCAAAGGCCTTCATAAAGCAATATTACACGGCAATTAAGTCTATTCTGCACAGGGTATCCATCGTTGCAAACCTCTGGCAAATTCGCAAAAGATGTGTTTTAGGAGCATTTACATCAGGCCAAAGCGATTTAACGGCGAGGTAACTGCTGTGGTTCTTAGATGGGATCCCACCTCCGAATTCGGAAATACAGTAGTTATCCGCAAAAAACGCTGTACGGATCACTGGATCATGCAGCCTCGTCTAGCCCATGGAACGTTTCGAGTTGGGGAGGCGACAGCCCAGACAGTATTGGATCGGTGTACGGAGGCCAGCCTCTCCTACTAACCGAACATCACATCGTTTGGATGGACGTGTCACGTGCAGGACACGGACCAAAGGAGGGCATACTCTGATTGGTCAGAATGCCAGCCAATCCGGATCGAGCACCTTCAGCTCGACGCTTCTCGCCCTCTCACGGAC